CCTGCCTCAGCCTCCCGAGTAGCTGGGACTACAGGCGCCCGCCACCTCGCCCGGCTAGTTTTTTGTATTTTTTAGTAGAGACGGGGTTTCACCGTGTTAACCAGGATGGTCTCGAACTCCTGACCTCGTGATCCGCCCGTCTCGGCCTCCCAAAGTGCTGGGATTACAGGCTTGAGCCACCGCGCCCGGCCTCAGATGTTTCTAGAGTGCAAGTAGAGACTGAGAAAAAGTAGTTAAATTTGGTTAGACACCTAACTCACACACACATATGTTTTAGCTAGAATTTTTTCTTCTAAGCTATCACTCAATATTTTTCCCTATTTTTGAAATTGTTTCATTATAATTATTAAATTATATAATATGCAATTGTTATAAAATGCAGGTTAGCAAAATCAAAATCCTATGAATTTAAATCTCAACAACCACATTTGAGATACAGCCTTGCAGTTTTTGCCCCCAATAATATAAATGTGTGTAAGGACACATGTCCTGTGTATGTAGTTTAAAGAAGTGAAATTGCATTTTACCTTCTAAAATCTTTTTAAACCTCATAATATGTCACTTAGTGGTTGCCTTCAGATTGATGAAATGTTGCTGTTTAGACTTTCTGTAATCCTTAAATTAGAAATTCATTGCTATTTTCTATTTTCTATATCTATCATCATTTCATGTTTCCTTTTGCTCACTACCCTTGCTTTCTTAGTGAACTCGAGTTTGATATCTAAAACATTTATTTGTTTCTTAATGTCTCCATCAATTTTCTATTCATTCAATCTTCTCATTTCCTTACCCACCAATTCTTATATTTCAGGTAAATACAAAGACACTTGCTATAGTTTTTGTTTTTCTGAATATATCTTTTACAAAAGTATTGTCCCTCAGCATAATTATATTATGTTTTAATTTTTAAATACATTCTTTGTTTGCATAGCAGGAAATGGCTCTCCAAGCAAGACATTGCAGGAGATTAATTAAAGATATTGCCTTTACTTTCTGTAACAGAATCCTTCCCTCCATGCAGTCATTCTGTGGTCCAGACTTATCTGTAGCAGATCTGAAATGCAAAACCTGTGGCCCTAGTTTTATCAGAAATGGGGTTGAAGTCCCCCCATCCCAGTTCTTGAGACTGATTTTATAAACTCGATTTTAGAATTTTTACATGAATCCTTGTTAAATGTCCTGGCTTCATTTAATTTACTGAGAGTATTTCAGCCTTCATTTTGTTGTCTAATATAGTCTTTATTCAACACAGTTTCCCATAATCCAAAAATCTGCTCGAAGTGATTTTTTCCTCAGAAAGTGGAAATTGTTTTATATCTTAAGAGAAAGAAATTTTTTTCACATATAATGCTTGGTTCCAGCAACTGTATGCTTTTTGAGGACAAGCACTGTATCTATCTTACTTAAGATCTACTCCAGCAGCAGGCATATTTACCACTGGTGGCACTCAATACATTGTAGAATGAATAACTAATAGTTCAGTCATCATCATTCTATATAGTATCCAAAGGTGATAAGGGTGGAAACTGGGTTGAGGTGAAAGATTTTAAATTGCTTTCTGCTGCATATTTTGTGGCCCATAGTAGCATGACATAATCAAAAGAATAAAGGATGCAGATGGAATCCTTATATATTTCTGGTGGAAGTGTAAAACAGAACAAATTCTTTAGAACACTGTTTTGCAGGATCTAGTAAAGCTAAACATATATATTCTCTCTTATATAACCTACTTGTTCTCTGTCACTTGGTTTATACCCAAGGAATATGAGTCCATTAAAATATGTTGCCAAAAGAAACATTCAAGCAGTTTTATTTTAGCAGTGTTATTCATAACAGCACCAAATTGAAAACAATTCAACACTCATATGACGTAGTATATGCAGACAGTAGAATAGTATATATCAATGAAAAAGAATGAACAATTGATGCACACAGCAACTGGAATTAATTTCACAGACAACAGTTATAAAAAAACCTAAAATACAAAAGAGCATATGGTGCATGTCACATTTAAATGAATTTCTAAAACACACCACACTGTTACCTGGTGAGCGTATGAACAGGAGGAAGCCACTGGTATGAGAATCGTTTTTGATCTGAATGGTAATTACACAGGAAAATTCGTGTGTATATATCTAAAGCATCATAAAGATGTACAGTTAAGGTTTGTACATTTTACTGTATGCAAGTAGATCTCAATTTTAAAAGCTAAAAAGCAAAATAAAGACATTTCTAGGCAAAACAAAAAGAAAAGAGGGATTGTAGTCAGGTAGAGCTGGTTATGATTTTTGAAAGCAGAACTGAGATCACAG